TTAGAAAGAGCCTCTATAGTGAGCACCTACCTTCCCTTTACAGTCAGCTGGGAAAAGGTAGGCTCAAAGTTGTTCTTTACAGTGCCAAAGGCATGCAGTTATCTCCCTGCCGTGGCCTTACTGCAAATGGGGGTGCTTGGTACGATCGGTTCAGTCTGTCAGCGTTCCCACGGGCTCAGCAGGCTGCCTACTTGGTGGCTGCACACGCATAAGTCTTGGCTTTGTAAGGAGCAAGTAGATGAGAGATGCTTCATTACTTCAGGTAAACTGTAAATTATTATACAAACCCTGCTCACAAAACTACAGGTTTGGTCTGCATCTTGGCAATGACAACGTGCGTAATTTCCAAGCAAGAGCATGGTATGTCCCTCTCACATCCCTCCTGGCTCCACATTTGGTAACGCGTCTGCAGCACGCAGGAGCTGCTAACCACCAACAGAAGGGAATCGCGGCTACAGCTCACCTGTAGCTCCTGCTCCCTCCCCGATATGATGAAAAGCACTTCTTGCAGGCACTGTTCTGTGTGTCAATACACAGGGAAAGGCGGTGTTCCCAAAGAGTTTCTTGAATGCTTGAAAGCGTAGAAATTTCATTAATTATTGTAAAGAAAACAGAGTTCAGGCAGGTTGTGAAATGAGCTTTCAGTTAGCCCTACAAAGGCTCACCACTGGATAAAAAAGCAGATGCCAGGAGTCTTCTCTTACTCCCTGTCTTTGCTTTTGCAATATTTAAGTGAATCATACAATAATACTTGATTATGAGTTCGGGATTCATGTGATGGTGATGCTTTGTAAAGGAGATTAACATACCAAATAATAATACAATCAACACAGGGTTACCAATGAATAGTCAATTTTTAAGCTGATGTTTTATTGTGATGAGTATAATAATGCAAAACTTAAAAAAAAAAAAACAATTAAAATGAAATTACAGCTATCAAATTATGGCATTTGGTAAGTCAGGCCACTTAGTATCTTTAGTCTTTTTTTAATTCCGTAAACAAATATTTGCCTATGTTTATATATTGCAAATCAACATGCACTTGCTTAGAACAAACACTGCAGAACTGCAAAGCTATTTGTTACACTTTTTCCTGAGATGTGCGTACCAGCACAACACAAGTCAGGAGGGGCAAAGCGAAACAGTTGGTAGTGAGGCCTCTGAATATCACAATCTGCATAACCATCAGCAGAAAGGAGATGTAAAGGAAAGGGTGCTTGAGTGAACCATAACGATGAGTTCTGAGAACTGTCACAGGGCAGAGGTACCCATATAACCTTTCTGCTCAAAACATGTCCAGGTGTCTGGCCCCAACTGGTGTTAAAGAGTAGAAATTAAATGTGCACGTCATTAAACCTGAATCCCTCAAGTTAATACAACGCGAGTTCTCAAATATCACTTCACCTCTTTTCCAAAGAACTCAAAATCTGAGTCTACACCAAAACCACCCAGTGTCAGCCATCGATTTGAACACCATATATACACACATGCACACGTAGATTTTTCCACACACATATACGTGGACACATTTGTTCTTCTCATGAAAAGACCCTACAAAAGAACTGCCGTGGCCTTCAATTTTAAGACAGTATTTTTCTAGGTATAGGAAAATAACGTGTTCATCACTGGAAATCTCCAGAAGCACAGTATACAGCTCGATTGCACAAGCTGGAGCACTCGGCACTTCCTCAAAGGCACCCACAGCAATGACTTACAGCAGAGGGAAACAGAACCGAAAGCCACACTGCTTTGGGGGTCAGCAAGTGAAAGGCCCGTACTTGATTTTGAGCACTGCTTTCCCAGGCTGTAGCAGCAGATATGTTATTTCCTGAAAAAAAAGATGGCTTTTATCCTTAACCAACCTCTTCCTCACTCCTTTTAGACACAGCACCACTCTGTTGAATGCTTACAGCAGTCCTGTTCTGGGCAAACCCAGGAAGTGCAATTGTGCTAAGGTGCACTATAAAGAGGAAAAGTCTTTTTCCTTCTATCTCTAAATCCTTGCACAGTCTGGACTCTTTACAGGTAGCAGCTTTGGCTTATTGAATAAACAAGATTATAACAAATTATTACATTCATCATAATATAACAGAGTTCACAACTGGATCAGTCAAAATAACACACTCGGTAAATACCCAAAAGCTTTTCAATAGCTGGGGATTGCCATCTCATTGCCATCATGAAGTTTTGACTGCGTTCCACCACATTAAAATTGAAAAGACAAAATCCAATGAATAAGCTGAGAGTTGAATTAAAAGGGTCTCTTAGATCAGCATGAGTGTAAAGCCCCCACTGGTGAAGGAAAAATAAAAAAAAACAACCCGTAACAGCACTAGTCTCCTGTGCCAAAAAAGAGCCAAATTTAAGCACAGAGGCTTTTTTGTACTTCTAAAATGTGAAATAACATATTTTTTGATGTCTTTTATTATGAACTTTTCCCTTTAGATTTGATTGTAGCAAATTTCAAGAGTCATACGACATCCTACATCCTTTGAGATTTCCTGCTGGAAGTTTCAGCTACAGGTCTACGGGTAATTAAATCACATAAAAAAGATTCAGCAAGTATTCATACTGTTTCATGGATCTGCTTTTCCAATTGTGCTGCTGATGATTTTCGCTCAAAAGCCTGACACTAAATGAGGTCTAATGCGAACTTTTAAGGATTCATTCAAATCAAGCATGAATGATAAATCATTTGAAGATGACACACCACCTGTGAGCCACGAAATGGGGGTCCCTGAAGTGCAGCATTCATCACATACTGTCTGCATGCAGTATACCCAAACTTGT